ACCTCCTCATAAACACCATGGTATGTGCTCATGTGAGCAAGGACAAACACACACACACACACACACACACACACACACACACACGTGTAAATTGTTTTTTTTTAAGGCACAGAAACTGATAAAGAAGACTTTGTACAAGTTTAATGGGAAAGGACATGTAACCAGTAATCAAATTCATGTCCCTGTAACGTAACACAGGATAGGCCTGGAATGTCAATACAAATCTTTCTGTTTCTTTACCAAATGTGAACTTGGGAAGGAGACTGATTGCTTGTGTTCAAGAAAAACTATCCACAGCATCAGGAATTCCTCAACCACAGAAACACTTGTACCATATCTTCAGAAGTACATATGTGTGGTGAACCAATGACTGCTTTACTGCCTTCAAAACTGCTAGGAGTCAAAGATACAATGGGAAGTGGGGTCTTTGTGGCTCCTGCCACTCATAGTCCAGCCTGCCACCAGTGCCTCCTCGATAGGGGCATGTGCCTGCTGTACCCCATTCTGCTCCGTATATAGGTGGGGCTCTGTTCCTTTCTGTTTTCTTCCTTGCTCTTTATTGTCTTAGTCTCTTCTCACTTATTCCAATACCCTTGGGAATATACTGAGAAGCAAGTACTGAGCACGCCTCTCTCATGACTGAGTAAGGGATTGAAAATGTTCCTTCATCAAAAATTATCTTAGTCTTCTCCCAGTTTAACCTTACAAAACAACTTGCTCAAGGACATCTACATCCACTGAAACTAAAGATGAAAAGAGGATTTAGCAAACTTTCTATCTTAAACCTCTTATTATACAAATTAGAAAAATAAGCCTCAGAGGGTGGATAGATAAGCAAGATGGGAAAGACTTGGATTCTGACATGGTCTCCCATTTGACTCTGTCACCTTTGGCTGTCAGCCACGAGGGGACAGGTCTCTCTGCTTAATGACTTTCTATTTACATCACGAAAAGTTCTATGGACATACAGGCATGATGACCAAAGAACTAAGTAAGGCCATATGTGTGGAAGGTTCTGAAACAGAAATATTGTATAAGCATTCTTTTATGACTTGGACCCCATGACTTTTGAATTGAAAACTAACATAGCTCACTCTTGTCAGGAGTTTCTAAGTACTACCATGGAGAAGGCCATGGACTCTGCAGCCTCCAACTTCATTTTCATTCTTTCCTAAAGACATCTGGTTTACTCCCTAGACTACTTTAGCATCCGATGACATTCTGTGGGTCATCTTTATTCACAATTATGGCATTACTGCAATTGTCTTTCTGTATCAGTCTCTTTATAGCTCAGGAACTTTCCATATTGTTTCTTAAATAATTTCCTACTTTCTTTCCTTAGTTATCTCATTCTTGGAGTTCTATTAGTTGAATAAATATTAACCAATGTATACTAATACTGCTCAGAAATCACTCTATTTAACATATTACTTGTAAGTTTTTGTCAACTTAACAAAAACTAGAGCCACCTGGGAAGAGGGCGCCTCAAGTGAAGAATTTCCTCTATCAGAATTTCCTGCGTCTTGTCCATGAGGCATTTTCTTAATTGCTGATTGCAGTGGGAAGGCCCAACCCACTGTGGGCAGTCCCATCCCTGGGCAGGTGGGCCTGGGCTCTAAAAGGAAGATAGTGGGGCAAGCCGGGGGAAGCAAGCCAGTAAGCTGTGTACCTCTGTGTTCTCTACTGCAGCTCCCACCTCCAGGTTCCTGCCTTGAGTTCCTACTTCCACTTCCCTCTGTGATGAGCTGTGATGTGGAAGCATAAGCCAAATAAACCCTTTCCTCTCCGAGTTACTTTGGCAGTGTTTTATTAGAGCAACAAAAAGAAAACTGGAACATACTGAAAACTAAAAATGGTATAAAGTTTTACCAAGGTGTGAATATTTCTCTAATGCAAGTATCATAAATATCTGGTATGTGGTAATAATGCTTTGGAGTAGACAACTATGATTTAAGAAAATAACTTACAATTAGAACAAATTATCCTTTTTCTCCCTCAATTTCCCTTTCCTTTCTTTGCACCCTCCTCTCTTCCCAGGCAGAGTAAATGAAATATACAGATATCACTAGTCAGTTACTTCAAATGAATATCTGACTTTCTGTACACACAACTTTTAGTCAGAGATGGCTAATGCTGTTATGGTTTCCTTCCTCAAGGCAAGGAAGAATCCAGGTACCAGATGTAGGTGCCAAGACGCCAAGACATAAGTATAAGACCAAAGGAAATGGGCCTAATCTTTATTTTGCATTGATAGCTGGGAAGTTGCAGAGGCAAGTGACCTAATTGGGGATTCCATCTGTAGCCTCCCCGACAGCCATCTCACCTCACCTAAGTGAGAAGCCAGGCATTAACAGTTAAACATTCTCCCTCATGTCCAAACAAGAATGAACCACTTTCACACCCTGGGCATGTAAGGTGTATAGGAATGTGACCCATGTCTAGCTCAGGGTTTTACTGAATCTGGCTGCACCTGGGGAAAACTTTGCCTTCCTATCAGTCCAACAAACCGAATACTAAGTCACACAGAATACCCAGGATCCTAGCTCAGGCTCTTTTCAGCAAAGGCAAAAAAAGTGAGCAATGGATAAGACAGCATCAATAAGATCCAAAAACTATCTTGAAATGAAAGCCTGATTCTGTAAAACCACTTTTAAAGGATGGGTGGCTAACTCTCCGAGAATACACACAGAAAACATGCATTTAGTTCATGTTTCCAAAATCCAGGCAGTTATACTTCTCATCTCTGTGGGCACCATAAGCATGTAGTACACTTACATGTAAGCGAAACACTCATACACATAAAATTATAAAAAACCAAAAACATTAAAAGCTAATAAATAAAACTATTGTATGAGAAAAAGAAAGCATTTAATAAAATAACTAGCTCTTAAACCCTGATTACTCTGTGCTTACAAAAAAAGATAGAATGCAGCTCAGAAAACCCAAAGTTTTAAACATATAATCTGAAAAGAATGAGAGGAATAAAAGCTAATTATCAGAAAATGAAGGTTAAGGAAACAACTACAATTGAGTTACAATAAAACTCAGGCGGAAAATTGAGCTTCCTTGTAGCTGAAATGCAGAATACCAAGAGGAACATATCTACCCAAGAGTAGCAGTGCACAGTTTATAAGATAAAAATGGTTTTCTAGAGTCATCATCTCTCTGTGTTTCCTGAGTATAGACACAATATCCCTGTTATGATGGTCTGCAACTCCTCAAATTTTGAGCCAAAACAAACCGTTCCCTCCTTTAGTTGCTTTTGTCAGGTATTTTATCACAGCAATGAGAAAAATAACCAATATATTCTATGTTCTCCAGTATTAAATATTCAGCCATGATTTCTTTATGTAAAAATAAACAAGCACACCCATGTCCTTAGTATGTAAATTAGTTTCAACCTTTAATAATAGATAAGAGTATACAAATAGCAAACAATTTTTTAATTTCTTAAACACAGTCCCCTGCACAGACTGCCCTCGGGAACAGTGGCAACAGAACCAATTGAACACAAGGCAAGAATGAACAACTGTGTACAACAGCATATAAGTCAACTGCATACAGCAGTACATGTTACCTGTGTAACAGCATGAGAAACAAGTACCTATAAAAACACATGAATGAGAGCATAACACACATGACAATCGACTATTTAAAGATGAGTGAGAGTTACATGCGATGGTATGTGAGAACTAGCTGTGTACAATGAGAATGAAATGTATGCAATTGCACATGAGAGCCAACTACACAACAGCACATGAATGCAAGTTGACTCTGTGCGATGGCATGTGAACGAGTGCCACCTGGGTATAAAAGCATAAGAGAGCCAACTGTAAGTAACAGCACCTAGGGAAACTGTATACATCAGCGGGGAATAAACTAACTACACTTAGGCACATTGAGTGAGTGAACTAGTCATATACAGGGATGCATACGTGAGAACAAACTACACACAACAGCACATGAATGAATGCACATATTTTCTTATGAAATACAAGTTCACAATGAAAATACATTCATCAAAATAATCTATTTTCATAAGAACACAAGTAAAACTTCTAGTCAAATCATTTATTTACCAAATAATTTATTTCAAGGATTTTCAACAGGGCTTGAAACAATGAGTATATTATTTCTTAGTTATTCAAATTCTGGTGTTATGTTTTCTGATTCTTTAACAAGGAAACCAGAAGGATCGATGTGTTTGAAAACCAACATTTTTTTGTGATAGTCAAATTAACTAAGACTTATAGAAAGACTTTCTTAGTTTATTCTTGCTAGAAATCATCCAGGGAACATCTTCACTTGAAGATTATAAGTTCCTGTTAAGGAAGTTTTCAAATGGTAGATTTAAAGAGAAAACAAACCATTTCACTTATAAAAATGTAAGCTCTGGCAACATCAGCACTTCCATCTGAACAGTGAACTGCCTGAGATGGGAATATTCTGCTTTCTTCCTTTCAGTAAGATATGTAACAATAAACACAATGATAATAGGTCAGTCTTTTCACAAAAGAGAAACAAAACATGTAATTCCTTGATTTTATAATTTTTGGAAAATTGGAAAAGCTTAGAAAAGTCAAGGCATAAATTCTACTAAACCAAGACAAGTACTAAAACTCTACTAAACAAGACATTTTGGTATATTTAATTCCAGGTTTTTCATGCATTAACAAATACAGCAATAGTCTCATTCTAATTTTAGTTGCCCTTTTTTTTTGTAATTTTGTCTTTTTTTTAAGCTGAGGACTAAACCAGGGTCTTCTACTTGTTAGGCAAGCGCTCTACCAATGAGCTAAATTCCTAACCTTTTATTCTAATTTTAACATCCCCTATTGACAAGGTTTTAATAATTTTTAATGGCTGCAAAATATGTAATAGTATACTATGTGATTGGTTATACACTAATATGCAGCTAACCTATAATGCTGAAAACAATGTAACACTAGAAAATAATAATGGAAAAAAGTTCCACTTTCCTCCTACGCATACTTTTTTACCTTCTGTGTCACCACCACTAGAAGCATTGTCAGAATTTGTACAGTTGGGAGGTTCTGGCAAACAGGGGATAAACCCCTCAGGAGGCAAACTCACAGTATAGAGCCGACATTCTGGCTGGATCTTAATGTCACGATCTGTAAAGATAAAAAGGAAACAGCATGCACTTGTAAATATTACAGAATGTAACCAAACATTTATTTGCCCTGATTTCATTAGCACTGTTTCTCCAGTGAAATTCAGTAAACACAAGAAATTAGGTAATGCAATAAAACTTAAACACCATCATACATATTGACTTTAATAAGCCAATGTTGCCCACAAAGCAAGACAGCTATATGCCCAGCCAGGAAAAGGGAACCATCTATTATTTAGTTCATGTTAAGCTACTCATATCATAAACTTCTAGGTTTCCATATGGTGATATAAAATATAAGTAATTCATGAATATGAAACAAAATATAAACAGTCCATATAACATACCTTTTTTCATTATACCATGAATCTTCTAACATTTTTGTGCCTTGTCCTGAATTTTGTCTCCATGTGCACTAACATGTACAGAATGTGTGGATATATCCCCTTTACACTCACAAACACACACCCACAGATCCACAGACACAGAACAATCTATAGACCAACATGTGCTTGCAAATACACTGAGATACAAGTATATACACATGTAGATACACATACACAGAAATATACAGACACATGCAATACATACATAGCTTTATGGCATCATATCACACATAATTTTATAATTACATATTTTTATATAAACATTTAAAATTGAGTGTAATATCATGAAACAACACAATATAGTATATAGTATTTAAACCTTCATATATTTTTCATGGTACAAAATATGCTATGGTATGGGAAAATTATAATTTAATTATCATTTAATCACTGTCCTAAATTATACACATAAGTGGTGACTTCGAATGGTCACTGTTATGAACAGTGATGATGGCCATCTATATCAGTCACTTTCCTTGATTCTATTATGAAATATCTGACAAGAAGTATCTTAAGGGAGCAAGGATTGATTTTGCCTCACAGTTAAAAGGTTCAGACCATCAAGCTAGTGAAGGCACTGGAGTGGCACATAACTGTGGCAGCAGAAAAGTAAGGCTGCTTAAGCTCACATTTCCATGGAGCAAGAAGCAGAGACAGGAAAAAAAGAGACACTAGACTATAAACCTGAAGGCTTATCACACAAAGACCCACTTCCTCCAGGTATGCCAACATCTCAAAGGTTCTACAATCTCTTAAAAGAGTGCCACCAGATGAGGATTAAGTATGCAAACTCATGAACCTGTATTTTACACCAAAACTATAATTCCATCCTTGTTGCATATTCCTTTGCACACTTGGCCATTTGGTTTCTTCAGATAAATTCTTAGAAATGGAGTTTCTGATCTGAAGATTTGAAGGATCTGAATCTTTTGCTATATATATATATGAACTAGAACCAGCTGTAAGAGAAATGCTTTTTCCCATACTCTCCAATATTTTGTATCAATTCTCTTAACCTTTATATTTTCATTTAAAATAGGGCAAAGTGGTTCTCTTGCATATGGCAAACACAAATGGATATCCCAATTGGTCTTCCACAGAATAACAAACATTTTATTTTAAACCAACAATGTTCAAGACTCACCAAAATCACCAATACATAGAATATATGCCTTTAAGATATTTAAATGTAAAACCTTTTCAAATTCCTATCAGTGTATTCACTCTCTTGTCACTAAGTATTCAGAATGTTGCCAGAATTCTAGTTCTTCTGTTAATTTGATTCACATAGTTGATTAATTAGTATGTCATTCCTTGCTAGAATCAAGGGCAGATGGTGGTATGTTTCTAAGAATACTATTTCTATCTTGTAACATCAACATTTGATCATTTTTCACAGAATATTTTTGGAAGCTTTTAATCACTAAATCTTTCTTAAGAAAGTTAAATAGAACTTAGAAATGTCATTGTTCATTTAATTATTGGGATGCATATAGGAGATATCATGGAATTGAAGCGTGAGATGACTCAGGCAATGGAAAATAATGATGTATCCAAGAACACAATTTGAACTGAAACATGTAGGAAGACAGTCCTCCTTTAGTGGGAAACCACATGCTACTTTACAGCTAAGCTTTTAAGCTGTATATGATGACACCGTCACAGCCAGAGATGAGCAGGAAAGGTAGACTACCCTGAGCCTCAGTTTGCTAATTGTAAGTAAAGGTGGCCATATGATATATAATAACTTCTAGTTCTAATTTTCTATATTATTTTAGGTAAAATATGGGTTGTTTTGAATACATTCACCCTTTTGGAAGATTGGTATCAGATCTCTTATTCAAGTGTAAAGAATGAGTTGGGTTATACTTTATGAAGCAGGCAGCTGCCATTTGATTCTACAATTCACTATTCGCACACAGTATATAGCAACTATCAGACTGTTGATCTCCCAGAGGGAGGCGTGGAAACACAAAGAAGGCAGGTGGGAATCTACCGTCTACTGACAGAAGTTATTAGCTCCCATATCCCTAGGGAAACACACAGAGGAGCTGGTCAGGCTGAAAGTCCCTAAGCAAAAGAAGGGATATGCTCTGAGCAGCTCTATTTGTAGGATACTGTCACTTAGATTGATTTAAGCCTTCATTCTCACTTGGAGCCACAACACACTGATCCTAACCCTTACACTTCCCAACTACCCTTTCCTTTTCTTTCAGCTACGGTCCAGTAGAATCTTTTCTCTAAGTTCATAGAACAGGGCTCCTTTTAAAGCTCCTGCTTTTCTTCTGGCTTCTAGAAAATGCTAGCACTGGTGACTGTGGAGCCCTGAGTTCTGGGAGCTCTTTTTTACTCAATGATTCCTCAGCAGCTCATATCCAAGCAGGAACTTTCAACCACTGCTGCCTGGGCCCAGACTAAGTGCAGGATCAAGCATCTTGCTATCCTTGGTGCTTCCTGAAAACACTGCTGCTCTTCTCCCTCTGCATGTAGCCTTTACTTCTGCTCCAATATGAAAATAAATCATGAAGTTCCACAGATATTTTACCCACCATAGTAACTGACCAAATCTTCACCAACTGCAGTACCCTCCAACTTGCCCTAAGCTAAGGCCACCTCCATCCAAAGTTAACACTCTAGTAGCCCTCCCCTTCTTTCCATGAGGTTCACTGCTTCAGCTACAACAGCTTCTATACCTTGTGAAACAAAAAAAATTACTTCTTTATTGAAGTCAATTATATTTGTATAATTTTTAAAATTAATTTCTATACTCACTGTTCTTCCTAATCCTTTTGGAATTTAGCCAATTCATCTTTCCTCAGCCATGCAGGTGGCCTCAACAAAATTATAAAGTAATCCACAACGCACTAACCCATCAGCCACACTATGTACTGTGGATTAGAGGTCCAGAAGAACATGGTATCCTGATAAAATGCTCGGTATGAGTGTCCAATGCCTGAAGCACTGCCCTCAGGTATGAGGAAGTGCTAGGTAAACTGGTGGTGTAACAGGAAACAAAACTGTTAATTTAAATGAAATAAAGTTTGAACATTAATAGATGAAATTGAACACAGGTTGTAGTCAGTGATTAACCATCCTGAACAAAGACCAGAGTGGTGTGTTACCTCACTAAATAAGGGTCTGATCTTGCTCATACTCCACCCCATAGGTTTGCACTACATTTCTTTCTCTAATCCAGTATACCATGCTCTCCATGATCATAATCTGTGCACACTGGTTCTTCAGTTGAGAACAGTCCTCACTATGTCCCATTATTGCGGATCTGCTCTTTGGCCATCTCCTGTGCTCTGTATTCAAAATGCACTTCTGTGGCTGCCTCCAGCATTATGATATCTCTTCAATTTCTTCTTTGTGGAAACTTTGGAAATATTTGTAGCTAACCATACTCTGGGCATAATTTTATTGCATTTTTTCATATTGTTCATTTACTTCCACAGATCTCATCCTGTCCCCCAGTATAATTTAAGCTTAAGCTTGGCAGAATGTGTCTGTTTTGCCATCTATAATCTAGTACCCAGTTTGTTTATGAGAGAAATTGTTGCCTGATTGGCAATTCTTTTTTTTTTTTTTTACTTTATTTTTTAGAAGCATTTCATTACAGCTTTAACATACTCAGTAACAATTCCCAGAGCAAAGATATATCTCTTTTAAAAGTGGCTATAAAATTTTTAGGTTCACAGTTGAATTAATACAGTTATACAATATTGTACTCAGTATAAACCCTATAAGACATAAAACTAAATGAGGTTTCAACCTTTAAGAAAGATCTCCATTTCATTTTAAAATATACTGGTTCTTACAGAAAGACTCATTGTTTTTGCTAATAACACTTAGGTGTTGGCGTATACGTCTCTAATTTGTATGTATCTGATTATTACTAGTCATGGTCGGTTGCACTCAGATCCTTGGCACCTGTGTATGGATATAAAGTCATTGGGTAGATTTCAATGGTAATGTTTAGCACCTCTACTAATTAACATGACGTAAATTTTTATGCTTCCTCCTCAAATATAACTCATTTTTTAATTTTTGTGTGTCTATCACACAGAACATCCCAATCTTATTCATTTATGTACCCACTTCCCAGATGGCACCTCCCATAGCCTCCCCCGCAAATAAAGCCCTTTTACTCTATCATCCCTGCTACTGTCTGCTGTGTTGTTGGCACCCCCAGCCGTTCCCCAGTACTTGTCCAGTATTGATTGGCAATTCTTAGTATTGCTTCTGTAACAAATGATAGATCTCAGACTCTGATTCCTGAGGCTCCACAGCACTTTTAGTTACTCAGAATTTAAAAATCCAGAACCTGCAGCCTGATTTGGGGAAGACAAAAGCATTTCTTTAGCACAAGATGATTTTAAGCACTAATATCACAGCTAGATTAGGATAGGAGTCATCACAATTAGCCTTGTAGTCCAAGTTTGTTTTTCCATGCATGGAGAAATTATTTCTACCTGCAAAGTGTTGAGGAACTGGATCATGTGTATATACTAGTGGCTCAGCAGCAAGGACAGTACTGCAGAGCCAGGGGAGCACCAAGAACGGCACCATGAACTGGGCCAGCACCAAGGACAGTGTTACCTACGCAGGAGTCGGG